AAAAAAAAAAAAAAAAAGAGAGAGAGAGAGAGAGAAGTCATGTGGACTCAGCAGAGAGAGCTGCCTTGGCCAGGAGAGAAGGTCCCTGGAGGACTGAGTCTACCGTACAGTGGGCTGGGGGCTAACTCTCCAGTCCTGGCCCTATAGCAATGGGAAGTACCTCATGCCTGGGCATCCCCTCATAGTAGCCCCAGCCAGGCTTGATCCCCAACACACACAGCTTGGCCCGGCATACTCCGAGACCACCCACAAGGGGGATCCCCCAGACACTAGGGCACCGGTGTTGTAGGCCCGGCACTCTTTCCTCAGGATGTGGCCACCCTGCAGTACCATGCCCCCCGCCTCGCAGTCGCCTCACACAAACCCTTCCAGGCCTGCCCCACAGTGCCCTGATCCTGGACGTGGCCTGCGGCACAGGCCTAGTGGCTGCCGAGGTGAGGCTCTTCCAGATCCCCCGCCTACTCCTTAGCCCCACACTTCCTCAAATCTCCTACTGTCCCTGGCCCCAGAACCCTGTGCCGTGCCTTAGACTCACTGTTCCAAATGCATGAGACGGGACCAGGCACAGTGGCTCGAACCTGTAATCCCAGCACTTTGGGAGGCCGAGGCAGGAGGACAGCTTGAGGCCAGGAGTTTGAGGTCAGCCTGGGCAACATAGCAAGACCCCTGTCTCTACCAACAAATTTTAAAATTAGCCAGGCAGGGTGGTGCACACCTGTAGTCCCAGCTACATGGGAGGCTGAGGTGGGAGGATCACTTGAGGCCAGAAGTTCAAGGCTGCAGTGTGCTGTGATCATGCCATTGCACTCCAGTTTGGGCGACAGAAAGAGATCTTGTCTCAAAATTTTTTGAAAAGCAAACGCATGGGCCACATTCAGTGCAGAATCCACTGCCCTCCCAAGGCACAGGGACCCAGCCGGGAAGTGGCAAGTGTGAACCATGACTGAGTCTCCCACCCCTACCCCAGCTGCGGGCTCGAGGCTTCCTCCAGCTACATGGGGTGAATGGGAGCCTAGGGATGCTGGAACAGGCTGGGGCCCGCGGCCTCTATCAGCACCTCAGCCTCTGCACCCTGGGCCAGGAGCCTCTGCCTGGCCCCGAAGGTACTTCCTCTCCCATCCCAACACCCCACGGTGCCCCCTCATAAAGCCCTTTCCCTTGCCGAACCTCCATCCCCCTCCCACACTAAGCCCCCAGTCCCTCACTCAATCCTGCACCCCGTGATCTGACTGCAGCCCAGAACTGGGCCATACTTACCTTATCCTCCAGGGAACCTGGGTCCTGCAGATGCGGGTGATAGCTTCGTCCCCTCCAGGGTGGTCTGAGGCCACACCATAGACAAAGCGCCTTCCAAGCGTCACACCATGTCCCCACCCCTCCCCACGCACACTGGGACCTTCGACATGGTACTGATAGTTGGCGCCCCCAGTGATGGCCAGGTGCCCTGCAATGCGATACCTGAGCTCCTATGTGTCACCAAGCCAGGTGAGGAGCAGCCCAGCCAAGCACCCCCAATCCCCATCACCATACACCTTCCCCTCTGCACAGCACAGACACAGGCCCCAGAGTCCCTCAGGCTAAGCGAGGGGCAGCGTTCTGCCCATCGCCACATACAGCCTAGCCTAACATCCCAGCCACCAACGGCAGACCCACGCAAACAGGCGGGGCAGACAGGTGGCCAGCTTGGCTCTTATCCATGGGCAACCAGGAGCAACTCCACCCTCCCCTGCAGCCTCCATTTCCTAGCCCGGGAGCCAGGTGGTATAAATGCTACAATCCCGTCCCCATAGGACTAAAGTGAGAATCAGGTGAAATCCTGTCTCTAAAGCTTTTGCTTTGGTCCCGGCCCACAGTGAGGGCTCAGTTCTGTTCCCTCCTCTGCCTGCTTCCTCACTCATTCGTGGACTGCCTTCGGGGCGTTTCTTTCTCTTTCCTGGTCTGTTTCCTCATCTGGGAAATAGGGCTGCTTAGGGGAGATGAGAGCTGTGAGCACTGTTTGTAAACTCCACACATCGCGCTATCCAGGCAGGTGTATCTCCCGTCTCCTGCTGTGTTCTTGCTCGGGGCTTTTCTCTGCTCTGGGCAGAGGGCTCAGACCCTGCCCTCTGGGCCTTGATCTCCAACCCACTGGGGCCCAGCAAGGGGCCAGAGAGCACAGGGTCTGGTCAGAGGTGGCCCCACCAGAGCCGTGAGTGCTCATTGCCCCCAGAATTTATTTACTTATTTATTTGTTTATCTAATCTGAGACAAAGTCTCGCTCTGTCGCCAAGGCTGGAGTATAGCGGCACGATCTCAGTTCACTGCAACCTTCAAGAGATTCTCCTGCCTCAGGCTCCCAAGTAGCTGGGATTACAGGAGCCCACCACCATGCCCAGCTGATTTTTGCATTTTTAATAGAGACGGGGTTTCATCATGTTGGTCAGACTGGTCTCGAACTCCTGACTTCAAGTGATCCACCCGCCTTGGCCTCCCAAAGTACTGGAATTACAGACTTGAGCCACCACGCCTGGCCCTGCTCCGAGAATGTAGAGAAGAGAGGCATTTCTGAGACCCGGTGAGGAATCCACGTAGGGCACAGCCTAAGGCAGAAAGGAGAGGGGCTGAGCATGAGAACCAGGAGGCACAGGACAGGAAATCACAGAGGGAAAAATGCTTCCTCTCCCTCCTCTCTCCGCACCCCTTGCCAGGCCCAGCAGAGACTGTGGCTAAGCCTGGGCAGGTCTGGACAGGCATCCAGGGGAGCCCTGAAGGCTGACAAATGCAGAGACATGGATGAGGTCAGCCGAAAAGGTCGAAGTTGGGCCAAAAAAGACAGGAACTTTCTACTGGGTGAAGCAGCCAGGATCGGACATCCTAGACCAACCTGTGCTTACTAAGCCCTTCAACCCCATTGGGCTGCCCATGGGTGACGGTCTCCCCTGTTCCGGAGCCTCTCCTCTCACCGCACTCCCTTCTACCAGCAACGCCTTGCTTCTCCTTACCCCCTCCTCCGGGAACCTTCCCAGACCAGTCACTGGGTCTTCCCCATCTCTCCTTCTCAGTGCATCTGAGGCCACCCTGGGCACACTATAGGTGCCTGGACCTGAGGTGACAAGGTCATTCAGCCAGCACTTACTGTCAGGCACTTCAAACACACATGCCAGCCTTCCTGTGATGTTAGATAATCATCCTCTGTGCCAGCTGGGAAACTGAGGCCCAGAGAGGTGAAGGGACTAGCCCAAGATCCAAAGCCCACATGCGGGTTTTCTTCCTGTCCATTCAGACACAGTCATATCCTCCGGCAGAGGTGTGGGTGAGTGGTGAAGAAGGCGTCTCCTCAATCCAGGAGATTAAGTCAAGAATTCCCCACCAGGCACAGCAGCTCACCCCCATAATCCCAGCACTTTGGGAAGCCAAGGCAGGAGGACTCCTTGAGCCCAGGAGTTCAAGAGCAGCCTGGACAACATAGCAAGACCCCATCTCTAAAAAAAAAAAAATTAATTAGCTAGGCGTGGTGGTGAGCACCTATGGTCCCAGTTACTCAGGAGGCTGAGGTGGGAGGATTGCTTGAGCCCATGAGTTGGAGGCTACAGTGAGCTATGATTGCGCCACTGCACTCCAGTGTGGGAAATAGGGTGAGATTCTATCTCAAGAAAAAAAAAAAGCGGGGAGCGAGGCACAGTGGCTCACGCCTGTAATCCCAGCACTTTGGGAGGCCAAGGCAGGCAGATCGCCTGAGGTCAAGAGTTCGAGACCAGCCTGGCCAACATGGCAAAACTCCGTCTCTACTAAAAATACAAAATAGCTGGGTGAGGAAGAAAGGAAGGAAGGAAGGAAGGAAGGGAGGGAGGGAGGGAAGTAGCAAGAAGTGATGGAGAAGACCCCTCCCTGGGGCCTCCCGGGGTCACTCCTTCCAGGGTGCTGAGTCTGCTCACCTCCAACTTACTGACAAGAAAATGAGAAAATGAAGCCCGAGCAACCTTAGAACATCCTTTCCACAACAGCGGCAGGGCAGACCCAAGGCCAAGGCCAAGCCCAAGTGGTTGCTGAGGCCCAAGCCCTGTCCTGGACAGCTTCCCCACCCAAATTCGGAGTCCAAATTCCTAAGCTGTAGGTCTGGGCCTGGGCCACACTCCATTCCCTCATCGATCGAGGAATCAGAATGCCGAGCTCTGGACGTGGCTTGGAGGCTGCCCTCCAGGTGAAAGGCATTTGGTGACCCTTAGCACCTCAGGGGTTTGAACAGGGCTGATAATAATTTCTCCATCCAAGAGAGTGGGAAGGCTTCATGGGGGAGGCGCCTGGGAGCTGGGCTTTCAGGACAAGCAGGATCCAGAAGGGTGGAGGAGGGAGAAGGGACATTCCAGGCTGGGAGCAGGGACCGGCTATGCAAAGGCTGGGAAGGGGAACCTGGGTGACTCAGCAAAGAGGAACAGACCAGCCTGGCTGCCCAGACAAAGCTGGAGCAACAGCGGGGTAGGGGTGGCTGGTGGCCCATACCTCAGAGCTGGGACCCTCCCTCCTAGGGTCCCCAACCCTTCACCGGGGTCCCAGGCATACACTGTTTCCTGTATACGGGTTTACCCTCCAACCAATGAAGGGCCTCCATCTGGACAAAGTGATACCTTGGGGGCCTATCTCATTTTTTTTTTTTTTTAGGTGATGGCTTGGGGGTCCATTTCTTTTTTTTTAAACTTTGATACTTTGGAGGCCCATTTAATTTATTTTTTAAGGTGACACCTTGGAGGCCCGTTTCGTTTTTTTTGTTGTTGTTAAGAGATAAGGTCTCGCCCCGTCACCCAGGCTGAAGTGCAGTGGTGCGATCAAAGCTCACTGCAGCCTCATAAACTCCTGGGCTCAAGCAATTCGCTTACCTCAACCTCCCCAAGTACAGGGATTACAGGCATGAGCCACCAGGCCCAGCTCATTTTTTAAACTTTTTGGAGAGATGGCGCCACGATGTTGGGCAGGCTGGTCTCAAACTCCTGCCTCGAGCGATCCTCCCACCTCGACCTAGTAAAGTGCTGGGATTACAGGTGCTCACCGCCACACCCAGCCCAGCTCCAGTTTTTCACAGTTCCCTGGATCTCGTTGTTTTTTTTTTTTAAGTGTTCATGTACTGGCCAAAACACAGCGGCCTTGCCCCTCACCTACCCCCTGCCCAGGCCTCCAGCCCTGCCCCACCCACCTCCACAGCTGAAATCAGAGACAATACAAGTTCCTCCTGTGCACAGGTTCCATTTATTGTAGAAAATAATAATAATTACAGTGATGAATAGATCTTCTTAAATTACAAAACAGAAACCACGAAGAAGGAGGAGGAAAAACCCCAGGACTCCCGAGGGTGAAGCCGCCCCTCCTCCCTGCCACCCTCCCAGGCTGGTTAGTGTCCTTGGCAGGGGCAGAGGACTCAGAGGGGATCAGTCTCCAGTGGCCCAGGGCTGAAGTGGGTGAGGCAGAGTCCTGAGGCCACAGAGCTGGGCAGCCTGAGCGGCCTCTCTGGCCCCCTCCCCCACCACTGCCCAAACCTGTTTACAAAGCCTTCACCCCTCCCCTCCAAACCCGTCCATCCACTCTGCCCTCCTCAGGCAGGTGGGTGGGCAAGGCCTCAGCCATACTCCTGGGTGCGGGTTTCGGTGAGCAAGGCACAGTCCTAGAGGTGACATCAAGGCCTGCCCGGAACAGAGGAGATGCAGGCAGACAGAGTGGGGAAAATGTAAATGGGGACAGTGGCCAACACCGATGCAGGCAGAGCCCAAAGTCACGGTTGAGCCATCCTGGCCAGCAGAAGCCAGCTCCCCACTCCACTGCCACACCCTGTCACTTCCGTCCCTCCACAATATCCAGAGGAGGGTGGACTCTGTTCTTGCTAGTAGGAGGCGGCCCTGGGAAGGTGTCCGAATGGGCCAGAGAGGCTGAAGGCTGCTGCCTTCCTGCCTGGCTCAGTCTCTGCCCAGTCCCCAGTCCCCAGCAGCCAGGGGCCCGTGGCAGGGCCCTCCTGGGGTCACAGCCTGTGCTGAGCTCAGTCCAGGGAAGAACAAAGCAGAGAGGGACAGAGTGGAGCCGTGGCACCTTACACGTAGTTGCTGGCAGCAGCAGAGCGGGCGGCAGAATACTTGGCAGAGTAAGGCTTGTCTGTACGGGGTGGGCAGTTGCAGCAAAGCAGCCCCCCGCCAAGCAGCAGCAGGCCGGAGGCAGCCCAGCCGACGTAGAGCGAGGCACCCATCTCCCGCTTCTGCCCGGAGGCCACCAGCGGGTTGTAGAAGTCTTGGATGATGTTGTGGGCCGTCCAGGACACGGGCACTATCACCAGCAGGCCGGCCAACAGGAACACCACACCCGCCACGATCATGGTCTTGGCCTTGGCACTCTCATCCTCCAGGCAGTTGGTACACTTGCCCCCCACCACGGACAGCAGCACGCCCAGAGCGGCCACGATGATGCTGATGATGACGAGGGCGCGGGCTGCCTGCAGGTCCTGCGGCAGCGCCAGCAGCGAGTCATACACCTTGCACTGCATCTGGCCGGTGCTCTGCACCACGCAGTTCATCCACAGGCCCTCCCAGATGGTCTGCGAGGTGACGATGTTGCTGCCGATGAAGGCCGTCACGCGCCACATGGGCAGCGCGCAGCACAGCATGACGGCCAGCCAGCCCAGGACGGCCAGCGCGATGCCCGTCACCTGTAGCCCCATGGAGGCCATCGCTCAGCGTCCGCGGAGGTTGAGGACCTGGAAGGCTGAGGGGATCCGGCTGTGGAGGCCGTAGGATTCCAAGCGCTGGGGACGGACTTAACGTTCACAGAGAGCTCCTTTGCGCTGTGAGTCAGGAGAAAAAGCCAGTCCTGATGCACAAGCCAGCGAGTGTGAGCAGACCAGTTCCTTCCAGCCGACAGCTACCAGGGCACTCTCTCTCTCAGGACAGGTTGAGCAGTTATATGGCTCTGGCAGAGGGGCGGGGGCAGAGGGAGGGGTTTTCGTCACTGGGACCTCCTCCTGACCAGTTTCTCTGGATTCCTGAGCCCAGGCCAACAAAGGCACTTTTGAGGCCCCTGCCCCTGGTCCCTGAGTCACTATCCAGTCTCAGAAGAAACTACCCTCTCCCCTTCCTCAAAGCCCATGCTGAGGTCACCCGGGAGACAGACACTGAATCACAGCCCAGGGACAGCTGGATATTCACAGGGCAAGGCCAGGGGGCAGCCAGACCAGCCAGGTTTGGGATCCTGAAGACCAGGGTCCCCACAGGCCAGGGTCCCCTCATTCTAGGTTTAGGTGGGAGGACAGGGTGGGGACCTTCAGGGAGAGAGTTTGAGGATGCAGTCTTGGAAACATCCACGAGAAACCGCACCTTGATTACTGTCCTTTCTTGTCCTTATCAGTTTCATCACTGGCAGTTTCACTGCTGTTGTGATTATGATCACTCATGCATCTGGCCTCACCAGCAGCCTCTGCGGCACTGGCTGGATAAAGTTACGTGTAGGGGAGTGAGGAGCCGGGAAGCCGGGACTCCTGGGTACATCACCCACTCTCACCCATCTCTATCACCAGCTTCTCTGTTTGGCTAGAAGAGGGGCCTTGGACATGATGCACCTTTAGCCAAAAAGAGACAGAAGCCTGCCCCTCTCCACCTCCACAGAAGTTTAGTCTGGTGGGCTCTGTTCCTGCCAGGGGCCACCCTGCTTGCCCAGAACTGGGTGGGGCTGGTCACCAACGACGACAAACATTAACTAGATCCTGGAGACATCATCACCCCAGTAAATGGATGTTTACCCTGTGGA